GGTGTATTAATTATAGGGGTGGATTAATTATAGGGGTGGATTAATTAAGGCGGAGTGGATTAATTATATGGGTGGATTAATTATGGGGTGGATTAATTAAGGTGGGAATTAATTATGGGTAGTGGATTAATTAAGGGGGGGTGGATTAATTATGGGGGTGTATTAATTAAGTGGGCTGTATTAATTAAGGGGGGATGGATTAATTATGGGGGTGGATTAATTAGTGTGGATTAATTATGGAGGGTGGATTAATTATGGGGGAGTGGATTAATTAAGGGGGTGGATGAATTAAGGGTGTGTGTATCAATTAAGGGGGGTGGATTAAGGGTGTGTGGATGAATTAGTGTGGATTAATTAAGGGTATGGATTAATTAAGGGGTATGGTTTAATTAAGGAGTGTGGATTAATTAAAAAGAAAACCTTTAACATTTTTTACAGGTTTTTTTTTTTTTTGGGGGGTGGGGGGGTGCCAAGCACAGGATCCGCCCCAGGTGCCAAATGCTCTAGGTACGCCCCTGCATAGACTCACACGCTCTTTCTATCCGTTCCGTCGGGGCCTGGAGGGCTAGTTTGGTAGAGTGGGTAAGGGTTGCTTTTAGCTATAAATAAGAGAATATCGCTCTATGTGGCTAGCCATATCTCTGCTGCAGGTCTGGGAAGTGTAACAACCTCCCTTGGTTATAGAGGTGCCTGATCAACGTGCACCCTCCCCCAATCCACAGCCGATGGTCAAAGGTGGAATTGGCTAAGTGTAAGATGTACATAGGTGTGTCCATCGTCCAGGTGTTTATATACCCCAATTGTGGTTTGATTCAACAGAATCTCTTTCTGGCGTAGTTTATGTGGGACCCAGAAAAGGTAATGGAGGCCCTTGGGGCATGCCCATGTCAAGTCCATCTCCACCCATTGTGGCGTGTTGTAGTCAATAGGGCTGCTCTGTAGTATAATTGCACCTAATGCAGTCCCAGGCCCCCCTGGTCTAGGGATTTGGTGAGTACCCTCGTGGCATATTTTTCTGTATGCCCATACAAATCTAGTGAGAGTTTGTTGTAATTGTCTCAAATACGCGTTGGGTACGTAAATCTGCAGTGTTCTGATTAAATATTGGAATTTTGGCAGTAACATCATCTTTACTGCCGCTAGTCTCCCCACCCATGATATGAACTTGTCATCCCTTTTCCCCAGGGTATCTCTGATCTCTCCCAACAGTCTCCCGTAGTTGAGGTCTAAGAGCCCCGCCGAGTCTTTAAGAATTCACAATCCCAGAAATGTGAGATAATCATCCCTCCAGTCCAGCTGGAACATTGCTTTCATCTGGCCTATAATTTGACGGGATACCCCAACCCCCATCGCTTGGGTTTTTGTGACATTAAGCTTGTAATTTGATTGCTCCCCATATAGTTTTATTTACTTCAAGTGGTTTGGTAGCGATATTTGTGGTTGTGTGAGTGTAAGTAGTACATTGTCAGCAAACAAGTTTGCCTTGTACTCTTTCTCACCTACCCGGATGCCATGGATTGAGGGGTTTACCCGTATCTTGGTCGTTAGTGGTTCCAGCGCCAGGACGTAGAGCAGGGGGGAAAGAGGGCACCCCTGCCTCGTGCCGTTCGTAAGCTGGAATGGCTCGGATAGAAATCCTGAATTAAGTACCCGTGCCGTGAGTGAGCTGTACAGTGCATCTATGACTGACACAAAGCTGTCTGGGATGTCAAACCTACCCAGTACCTCCCTCAGGAACCCCCAATGTAGTTGGTCAAAGGCTTTTTCAGCGTCTAGAGATACAAACAGTCCCTCCCGATGCTGTGCCCTCAGGTAATGAAGGAGGTTGATAACTTCTGGTGTTGTCTGGTCCTTGTCTGCCTATTATAAAGCCCACCTGGTCGCTGTGGATCATGTGTGGCAACATGGCCCCTAGTCTATTTGCATATAGTTTGGCAAATATTTTCTCATCTGTGTTTATAAGAGGGAGATGGGGTATAAGTTTTGTGGTGATGTCGGGGGCTTGTTGGGTTTTGGCAGAGTGACGATATGAGCCGATAGTATTTCCTTGGGGAACATGCCCTTCTGGACTGCCTCTGTGAACATGCTAGCTAGGTAAGGTGTTAGTATTGTGCTAGATTTTTTATAAACAGTTTGTCGAAACCGTCTAGACCCATGGGAGCGCCTGAATTATGTCTCCTATTTCTTGGTCTTCTATCAGTTTAGTCAGGTATGCTTGCTGTTATGGCGTGAGCTTTGGGAGTTTCACCCCATCCAGGTAATCTCTAATGCTAGGTTCTGTCGGGTGCCTAGTTTGCGTATCCTCCTTTATGTTATATAGTGATGAGTAGTATGTGGCGAACACGTCGCTAATGCCCTTGGGGGTGGTGATTTTGGTTCCCCCCACAGTTCATAATGTGTGATATTTTCTGTTTGTTAGCAGTTTGCTTGCTTTATTGCCCTGTATGTAGTGGTTAATTTTGAGTTTCTGCATGTGTGTATTTAACTGGTCAAGTGCTTGCTGGTTATGAGGTGATCTGAGTGATCCTGGCTTTTGCCTCCAGCATCGGGGTTGTTTAATTTAGTCTATTTAAATCGTACAATTCTAATTGCTCTAAGCTTGGATTGTATGGTCTTTTTCACGTGTGCTGCCCTACAGATCAGCAAACCTCTCGCTGTTTTGTGGTCAAGCCACACTGTCGTGTTTGTTACATCTCCCGTGTCGTTGCATTTAAAATAGGATTGAAGGTCCTTTGTTAGGGTCTCAACAAATTTACCATCCTGCAGCAAGGAATTATTTATTTTCCATGGTGTGCGGTATTTGAAGTCATATATATTTTTAGTTCTATGGTCACTGGTGCTTGGTCTGACCATGTGATTAGGTGTATGTCACAGGAGATGAGTTGGTCCAATGCGGAGCCTAATAGAAGGAACCTGTATATTTTGGAATAGGAGTTGTGGACTGCGGAGTAGTGGGTATAAGCCCTTTCCGTGGGGTGTATGATCCTCCACGTGTCATATAGATGGTTGTCATGAAGAAGTTTTGGATCTGTTGTAATCTATGTACATAGAAAAAAAGTAAAAAATAAAAAACTAAAAAATGAAAAAAATGAAACAAATAACAAAAAAACAAAAAAATGAAGAAAATCAAAAAGATTATATATGTCCTTATGTACAATAGTCCAAAAAGTAGTGCACTTAAGTAATAAATAGGTGGATCTCACCCACTGAAGTATCCAAATGGAATGTAGCCTTAGATGCAACCGGAGAATTTGTGGGAAGTCTGTAATAGATGAAAAAGGTGACTGTATATCAATCGGTGAGCTATAAAATCCGCTAAGTTCCTGCTGTAATACAGGCTGTAATACAGGCTCGGCCGGGGTGTCAGTGTTGTCCTCATGTATCTCCCTGAAGACAGTCAATAATATTTGGCAAATCGGAGATAGCCTCAGTATGTGTGCAGTCACAGTGTATGGGCAGCGTGCTCGGGACATCCACGTCCCTTCGAAGGCCCCTGCAATCTGTTAAAAACAACAAAATAAAAATAATTTATATACGCTGTTCTCGGCGGAAAATTCCCGCCGCGTCCACCTTGTAGTCCTCCACCACTTCCGGGTTTCGGCGTCTGCGTGTGTACTTGCGTCATCAATTTCAAATACAACTTTATTGTCAATGTATGACAAGCGAACAGCCAAACTTGAATAGACTGTATTGATAAAACCAACCTAATTGAGTAGTCGGTATATCATGGGAAAAGGACAATAGGGAGGACCCAAAAAAGAAGGGATAATTACTAAAATATATTTATGCATATTATATCACTGTGGCAGTAATAAAAAACCAAGAGCTCAATGGTCAATTAACAAAGTAGAGAATAGCACTACCTAGAGGACAGAAAGGTTATGGAACCTAATGTAAAATATATTTTAAATGATAAATTTTAAATATGTGGATCCTCATTAGTTATTAGTTATTTAGTTATTAGTTATTTGTGGATCCACATATTTAAAATTATATGAACAGCGTATATAAATCATTTTTATTTTCTTGTTTTTAACAGATTGCAGGGGCCTTCGAAGAGACGTGGATGTCCAGAGCGCGCAGCCCATACACTGTGACTGCACACATACTAAGGCTATCTCCGATTTGCCGAATATTATTGACTGTCTTCAGGGAAATACATGAGGACAGCACTGACACCCCGGCCGAGCCTGTATTACAGCAGGAACTTAGCTGATTTCATAGCTCACTAATTGATATACAGTCACCTTTTTAATCTATTACAGACTTCCCACAAATTCTCCGGTTGCATCTAAGGCTACAATCCATTTGGATACTTCAGTGGGTGAGATCCACCTATTTATTACTTAAGTGCACTACTTTTTGGACTATTGTACATAAGGACATATATAATCTTTTTGATTTTCTTCATTTTTTTGAGTTTTTTTGTTATTTGTTTCATTTTTTCATTTTTTATATTTTACTTTTTTTCTATGTACATAGATTACAACAGATCCAACTACTATTCATATGGATATGTTGTCCTTAGACCATTAAACAGGAACATTACTAGCTGTGTATATATACTTATTATGAATTCATACAATACCCATGGAGGTCATTTTGTAAATAGCTATTGAATATATGATGTAATATATTCTTTTGATCAATTATAATCTCTCACATAAAGCTAAATACCTATGAATTTAAGAACTAGAGCACAATAAATGAAATTAGATTATCTCTTACTATCGTTTGATTATTTTTCTATATTGAGTGCGGTATTCATATTAATTTTTTGTACACCCACTAACCCTACCCCATCCATGTGAACATGGTGCAAAACATATGACATTCGATCAATATGTAAATCAACATGAAGTACAAAATTAACATAAAAGAAAGTATATACAAAAACATTTGGTGCCATTGTGTTGGCTTGGCACTGCATTGTCATGCCTTGGGGGGTAGAGGCTTAAGGCCTCACGTCAAGTGGGAGCTTGCTCCCTCTGTGGCTACATCTTTTGTCATCTTCAAGATTTCCCAGCCCTGGGCCCTTCTCCTGAGGGTCAGTCCCCAGTTTCCTCTGGGGCCCTCCCTGCAGCACCACTGTGGGCACTTATGGGTTCCCTCTCATTGGTAGCTGTTCTGGGCGCTGTTGTGGTGAAAAAGTAGGTCCCCCTTAATCCCTGAACCATCACCTTATTCTTCTCTGAATGATAACCTAGCGTGAGCCCTCTGCCCGTGGGCCAGGTGAGAAAACAAGGGCCTGGCTGTACTCACTTAAAGCAATGGTATATTCAAAGCAACATGTTTGTTTATAGCAACCAGATATATGTTGATAAAACCAAAGACATAATAGCAATAGGAGATATGTTTATAGCAACCAGTGATGTGCTTTTAGTAATTGTTTATAACATCCAGTAAAATAGTTATAGCAACTGGCTTAATGTTTATAGCAACCAGAGGTATTTTCTTAGCAACAGATTTGTTTATAGCAACCAAAGACATAATATCAATAGGAGATATGTGTATAGCAACCAGTGAAATGCTTTTAGCATATGAAGACATTTTTATAAGAATTAGTAAAAAAGTTGTAGCAACTGGTTTAATGTTTATAGCAACCATAGGTATGTTCCTATCAACAGGTTTGTTTATAGCAACCAAATATCTCTTTATAGCAATCAAAGACATGATAGCTATAGGAAGTATGTGTATAGCAACCAGCGATATACTTTTAGTATATGAAGAAATGTTTATAACAACCAGTAAAATTGTTATATCAACTGGCTTCATGTTTATTGCAACCAGAGGTATGTTCCTTGCCACAGATTTGTTTATAGCAACCAGATATATGTTGATAAAACCAAAAACAAGATAATAGCAATAGGAGATATGTGTATAGCAACCAGTGATATGCTTTTAATAAATGTTTATAACAACCAGTAAAATAGTTATAGCA